TTATTCTCTCTCTCTCTCTCTCTCTCTCTTCTTCTCTCTCTCTCTCTCTCTCTCTCTATTTTTCCTATCCGTGCGCGTGCACACTTTGTTACCGTTTCTCTATCCTTTACTTGGCCGTACGTTACTCGTGCAAAAGTTCGAAATCGTATCCCGGTATGGAATATTAAAGAAGGAATTGTTAAAAATTGTAAAATCGAAAGATTCGTTTCGTAGAGGGGATGGGGAAAAATTTGGGGGGAAAAATGATGGCAAACTTTGAACGAGTAACGGTATCGCGCGACTTTGTACAAATCTCTTCTTTAGATTGTTCTTGCATCGAATTTTTTATCGTATTTTTTTGATCCATTCGTTCCGGAAAAACACGGGTCGATATTTATGCGTTGAAACGCATCGCATACCAGCATCGTGGTAAATATTTTTGTTTCGCGTTTTTTTGCGAATAACGATAACAACAAATGTAACTTTTTAGAACCCCTTCCTCTCGTACGTTTTAATTTTCGAGAAATAATTGTCTCGATCGGATACAAAAATGATAATCGTTTTTTTCCTTTTTTTTTTTAAATCGAATTCGAATAATATTTCGAAACGAATGGATCGGATTAATGAGAGTTTTCGTAATGAAATATCTAGTCTTGGCTTCTGTTCTGTACAAGTAAAAGATTTATCCAAAGGATTGAACGATTGACTGCGAAAATTTGTGTTTTATGAGTGGCCTTCCAATATGGATTGTTAACTGTTGCTGTTGTTGTTGTTTGTCTCGATGAATGCGATCGACAAAATCTCTTTGTGTTTCTCGTTATAATTCATCCGTTTGGAATTTCGTGTCGTGCGACGAACGCTAACATCTCCTCTGCTACGTCATATGTACTTACATGAATTTCTTTAATCACTTATCCCCAAGTGACCTCGCTTCATGCTTAATTGAGAAATTTTTTATTTCGAAGATAGAATTATTTCGACTGTTCGTCTAATTGCATGATTCTTATGATAATTTGTTCGTAAATCGATTACCTGTTATAAAAACTTTTAACCTGTTAAAAATTTATTTATATATCGTACGCGTGCAATATCGTATCCCATATATTTTGTATTCGCAACAAGAATTATCGCAAGCCAATCATTGTACGATTGAACAGTTTATTGAAAGTAATCGTAATTGGATGGAATTAATTTTACAACACTTTTAGATATAAGAAATTTATACCATATTTTCTCTAATTTCAGTATGTATTTGAAGAGATAAGAGGGCCTAACGATACATATTCGAGATGAGGGAATACTAATGAAAAAGACTTATAAACCCTATCAAGATCCTGCATAAGAATCTTTCATCAGCAGTAAATATTTTTCGATTCTAGTTAAACATAACACAGTATGAAATTTTTACGGAATTACTTTCATCGCAGCGAATATTCTTTTTTTTTTTTTTATCATTTCGTTACTCGAAAAAGTTTTCTTTCGATATAATTCTTCTCGTATAATTCTCTAAATAAAATTTACACTCGAAACTATTTACATTTAATAATATTAACAATTTCTTGGTTGCAAACTTGCAAGCATGTTTTGTACGCAAGAAATTTGTTTCACGATCGCAAGTCGCGAAAGAATCGGAAGCAACGAATCGACTCTACAAATATAAAGTAAAATTAGCATTTTCTTCCATTGATACGGTATTTTTTTATAGATGGTACAATTGATCGATAAATTGCTGCAAAAGAGCATTTTAGCTTATTAATATTTGCATTTGAAAATCGTCACTCTTATGAATTACTTTCAATATACTGTTGCTCGACGCAACATCGCGGGATTACGTATCCACGAGCGCTCGAATTCGCCATCATCTTTGCTTGATGCTTAACGTGTTGCACGTTGATGTTTCTTGGAATATAAAAGGCTGAAGTACACGCTTATTCGGCTTTGTTTATCTCTAAAATCGAGTATCTCGCTGAATCTTTTCGATTTTTTAAAAGAAAAAGAAATAATAGAAATAATACAACGAATAATCGTTTCAACAATTCAAAAAAAAAATCAATGGAATAACGTCAATATTTTATTTTATTTGCATTCCCTAATTACAAACGATTGGTGGAACACGGAACGTTACGAGTCGAAAAATTCATAAATCGACACAATCATTAACGATACATTCGAACAAGATTGACTCGTCATTGGTCATTGAACAGGAGAGATACTCGAAATCATTGGAAGGATTATTTTTATTTACATATTTCGATTCGCAGGCACAGTGATCGCTACCACTATCATCGCACGGCCTGGCTTATCCTTACTTTCAAATATCACTTTGCATCAAGGAAACTGCATCTACGACCTGGCTCAACCTCGAATTCAACCAGAAAAATGTCGCCGGGGAACGTATCATCGTTATGCGTATGAAATTGCGCACGAATGGAAGAAACGGAAGAAAGAACAAAAAAAAAAAAAAGAAAAACAAGCGAGAGAGCGAACGAAAATCTCTACGTATGGGGGGAGGGAGGGTATCGTCGTTAATAATATTCCCATTGGAATAATTGGAATTGTTCCGAAATCTATCGATAGTCCAAAATAATAATCAATTCCCACGAGGGGAGTAGTCGATTGATCGAACTGATCGCAATTGAAAACGAATCCGTTTTTTTACACCACACTGATGAAAAAAAAAAAGAATAAACAAAAACAAAAGCAACACGATATATATACATATATATATATATATTTCCAATGGATTGCTCACACTTTTACAATATTGAAAGTAATTGAGGTTGAGTCACGGTAAAGGTAGATTCAGATCGACCATCGTGTGTTGGAATGTTGGAACGATGCGTGTGTGTGTGTGTGTGCGAGAGAGAGAGAGAGAGAGAAGGGACGTTAAGATAGAGAGAGGAGTAAATAATGAAATGGCTTTTTTAGAATTATTATTATTATTATTATTATTATTATTATTATTATTGTTATTAATCGAGGGAAGAATCGAAAGAGCGAGAGGGTGAGCGTGGGAGCGCGAATGCGTGTGCGAGGAGGGAGGGAAAGGGAGCGTGAAAGGGAGAAAGTTTGTCGAGAGATATTTTCTATTTCTATTTTTTTTTTCTTGAAATTCGGACCAAGACTTAACCAGCGTTTGTGTGTTCAAATGGTAAAGTGTGTTCTTGGTTGCGGTCCAGCTAGCGGATGAGGACTGGCTGACGCCTAGCCTTCTAGTGTGATGGTAAGCAAGCACACCCCACCAACAGGAACAACTTCTACAGCAACAACAGTTACCACCACCACCACCATCACCACCACCACCATTATCACCACCACTACTACTACTACCACCACAACTACCAACAACAACAACAACAAAATTTCCGTCACCATCGACGCCACCGCGACAGCAAAAGCGACAAAAATCATGCCGCTTCCGGCTTGATTCCGGACATGAAAAACATAAAGCAGAGCAGGGCAGAAATGATTGCCAGAAAATCGTAGCGTAAATCGACCCATTTATTCGACAACAAACAAAAGTAAATGAGCGAAGGGGATGAATTATCCATACGAAAAAAAAAAAAAAAAAAATAATAAATAAATAAACGAATAAAAACAATTTCTTAAAGTGTATATATCTATATATATATATATACACACACACATATACACGCACACATACACACACACACATATATATGTATATATATATATATACACGTATAAGTGAGAAGAAAGAAAAATGGAAAAGATAATAGGGGAGATAAGAGAACAATACTTGCAGAGGTTCCCCGTCAAATTTTCACGTCCAATATATAATATAATAACCGGCAATCTCAACGCGGGCGGAGGGGGGAGGGAGGGGGGGAGGGGGAAAGAAGAAAAAAAAAAGAAGGGTTAATTGGTGAACAAATCGGAGGTATCCCTCTCGTCCAGTTTGTAGGGTAATGTGTAGTGTCTCTCTCGGCTTGAATTAATAGATAGCGTTGCCGTCACGGTAGTGTCAAAAGCTTCGGTATAATGAAACACGAATTCCGGGATACGCGGACCACCATGTGATCATCAAAGACAGTTTGTAGGGTAAACAGCGAATATTTTGTGTGTTGCCGTATGTCCACAAAGGATACACGATTACAGAAGAGGCGAGCGAACGAGAGAAGTTGACGCATGTTGAACAACCTCGTGATTTCCACTTTCCGCCATTTAATCGACGCTAAACTCCTTTATCTCGAGAGAAAGAGAGAGCGAGCGAGCGAATACGAGAGAAAGAGAGAGAGAGAGAGAGAGATGAACGTGCGTGTGTGCGAGTGAGCGCGCAAGAGAAAAAGAGAGAATGGGAGTGAGAGGAAGGAAGGAAGGAAGGAAGAGAGAGTGAAAACGCAGACAGGACGCCGCCATTTATTGACCCGTAACCCGGATTCATTATTTTTGTAGTTTTGGGCTTTAACAAATTAATAAATCGAAAAACGAACAATATGCGAAAAGAGACGCGTCCGCGAAACGCATTACTCGGAATCGCGAATCGGCGACCGACAAGTAATCGTGGTGTAATAAAAATAACAAAAAATATATTAAAGGGAGGAGATCGAATGAGTAAAGTATACACACACACATTACACATACATACACACACACTCGTGAAAATTATACGATATGAGGTGAAAAGTAAATAAAAAACAAACAGGAAAAAAAAAAGTTATTATATAAACGAAATTCAAACAATTAGCTAGTTAGGTAGGTATGTTATAATAAAAAGTTACTCGAGGACGATTCGAAATTCGGCGGCAATGCGGAAACAGACCTTGAGAGGAAAAAATATATTATATAAAATAATAATAATAATAATAATAATAATAAAATAATAATATAATAATAATAATAATAATAATAATAAAATAATAAAATAATAATAATAATAATAATTCGACGACTCCGCTGTTCCTGAGTGAACTAATTAAAACATAACACACCTTCGTACAACCCATACTCGACTATCGCGAACCACGGAACTGAAAGATCCACGTGTCTTAAAATCCATTTTTCCGCCAACTGCGAGGACTTCTTATCTTCGGTTTATTATATTTATTATCAGACTCGAGGCCAAAAAGACAAATCATAAGCGAAGTCTTCGCAGGCTAGTCGAAGAGCCGTTTTTATTAATCGACTTTGATCCCTTTGACGCGGCACTTCTTAGACAGTTGGATATTTTTATAAAGAGAGAAAAAAAGAAAAAAAAAGAGAGATCAGCCGTATGCGAGGGGTGTCGACCGATGCTGTTCGAGTCGCGGTGTTCGAAAAGATTAAGAAAAAAAGGAGAAGGGAGGGGAGGGAGAAAAAAAGAAGGAAGAAAAAAGAGAACAAAGAAGGGGGAAGGAGGAAGGGAAGGAATGAAACGGGGATCGAAATAGCGAGATCGAAACAGCGATCGATCGACTCCAATCAATCGTGTCTGGTCTTTACCCGTGGTTTTTAACTTAATACCTTAGATTTTTATATAATACCAATAGAACCAAAGGGGAAAATCTCGACTTTAAGACGCTTAAGCAATAAATCATTAAGCTTAGGAAATGAGAAGAAACAAAATCGTATTATCCCTGCGTCTCTCTCTCTCTCTCTCTCTCTACTGTAAACTCGCTCTCAGCTTTTCCAGCTTTGTAAGCCACGAATTCGTAACAACGAATGGTATATACATATATATATATATATATAGATTGGAGAGAAGGGACACGCGATGTGAGTTTTAAGGAATCAAAAAAAAAAAAAAGAAAAAGAAAAGAAAGAAAGAAAGAAAGAAAAAATCGAGATAAAAAAAATGGTCTGTCCGATGTCCCGAATTTCGACTTGGCCGATCTAATGAAGCAAAATGAATTAAAGAAATAATAATAATAATAATAATAATAATAATAATAATAATAATAATAATATTAATAATATTAATAATAATATTAATAATAATAATAATAATAACGAAATCGAAACAAGCAAACGGTGAGTAAGCGTGCATGGATACGCTGGTACGCGTACAAACGAGAGAATGTTGAGATATAAAAGAGAGTGTGCGAAAAAAACGGAGAGCCTGCGAATAATGAAGAATTAATTAAGCACAAGCGAGAGGCGAGAGCAAAACGAAAAAAAAAAAAAAAGAATTAAAAACAATTCGTAGATAGACACATTGCACAAAACAGCACGAAAGTTAGATTAGAGGATCCGTCGAGTTCCTTCCTCGCGAATGCGTATCCCTGTCCTCCGATTCAAAATCTTTCGAAGGTTGTCTCTCTCTGTGTATAATTCCGTCGTATCCAGGGGGGGGGGGGAGGGGGAAGGGAGACAGGAAAAGAAAAAAAAAGAAAAAGAAAAAAAAAAAAGAAGAAGAAACACAATTCCTTTTAACCCTTTAAACCGTTGCCGGTAGTTGGAGGAACGGATAGAAGAAGAAAAACGAGAGAGAGGAAAGATCGTTAGAGGGGAGTACAGATTAAGGATTAAGAAAAAATGAACGCGAAGATCGACGACGGTTTAACAAGTATAACGAGGTACGAAGTAATCCCATCTGATTTGCCTATCTATGATCCACCGTGCTTTAGACCTTCGTAACCATCCCTCCTCCTCCTCCTCCTCCTCGTCTATTCTTACTCCATGCTTCGTCTCTTTCGGTTTTAAGCACGATCCGACGCTTCGTGCACCCCCGCTACTTCCTCTGTTTCGTCGTTCGAAATCGCCCTTTGATAGCCGCCCACTCTCTCTCCTCTCTCTCTCTC